TATCTTGTCCATGAGCCTGTTCTTTCTCTCTCTTTCCCTTCTTCCATGATGTAGGAGATGACTGTGTCCTGTATCCACCTGCATGGAAGCTATATAACTTACAGTGGACCCCAGGTTCTTATGGAGGGGAGAAAATATATTCAGATACATGAGATAGCCAATAGGGGCTTGTTTATCAATCTGATTTAACATGTTTCATATCAACTAATCATAATCAGTGGGATTGTGCTACCCTAAAATTCAGGATCAACTGAGGTAAGCAAAATTCTCCAGAAAACCATGAAGTGAAAGCTCTTAGAGGTCAGAAAACTGAGTCAAGGGAAAAATATGAGTCCTTGACTGGTACAGAACCTCTATCATATTTTGTTTTGTTCCTCCGCTTCAAAAGAATAGTGACAGGTGTTACACTAGTGGTCATTCTTCCTTTAATAACTTTCTTGCCATCAGTAGTAAGGGTGTGAGCTGAATTTTATAGGCCACAAGAGTTCAGTTTGCTTGAAGTTGATTGTAAACAATATGGAAGAAGTATAGGTGACTCCTGAAGATTCTCTTCAGGTTGGATTAAGGAGAGTATTAAGACTTTATTAGCATAAAATTATTAAAACTTTTTGCGAACATCTTTTTTGTGTATAGTCAAAGGATTAGTGAAAAGAGATGGGTCTCTATTATATATAATATATAAATATTTAATAAAGTATATATAATTAATTTGAAAAAACTCTTTCTATTGATTATTTAATTATATACAAAAAAGATGTTTACAAGAAGTTTTATATTTTCTTGCTAATAAAGTCTTTATACTTTTATTAAAACAACTTGAAGCTTGTTTTCATTCATTTTTTACTACTTTCTTTTGCTTGTTTATAAACTTCTTTAAATAAAAACTTGAGTTTCTAATGGTCTGAATAGACTTAAGTATATACTTTCTTTATTAAGGACAAGAAGGAATTAGGAAGTAAAAGAATTGACAAGTGGAGTGATACCTTATAGAGCTAAAGATAACAAGAAATAGAGATTTTATTAATAGAAAAAGGCTTATTATTTTTTTCTTATATACTATCTTGTATTCTCTTAGAGTATTTACTATTTTTATAGTTTTCTTAAAGGATTTTGTCTACCTCTGTTTACCCTGAATTTCCAATAGCACAACATCACCTGGTATTTAATTAATTGATATGAAATATATTAGTGATTAAATATAAACAAGTTTATATTTGTTATTTCATATATTTTTATGATATCATTAGTAATTGAAAGAGTTAATTAGTGCCCTATGTTTGTTCCACTACTCCAATTGGGTTAATCTATAGATTAAGTTTTATAAGATTAATAAGATATAAGCAACAAGTCTCTAGGTGATGAAAAAGTTACTATTCATTTAAGTTAAGATCTTTCTCTTTATCATTCTAATCAACCCAATTAGACAATAAGACCAAACGGTTTCTAGTTTATACCAAGCTTCAATTTTTTAGTTATAATTAAGAATACATTTTTCATAAATTGTTAAATAATATTATAATCGACAAGGATCCTTATTACTTTTAAGACCTTTATTACTTTTGAAAACTTTATATTATTATAAGACCAAAGAATTATTGAGGAATCTGATCTTTTGAGTAATTGAAAATATATATCGGTAAAATTTCTTTAACTAGGTATAGTTGCTGGAAAATATTATACTGAAACAATATAGCTCAGTTTCTACTAGATTACATAAGAATCTAGAATTCATTATAAATTATCTCTCTATTATAGAGGAATAAAAATGCACTGTTCAAAGAAAGTTGTAACCTAGTATGTCCTGAAAGTAAATATTCCTATTAAGTGATAAGTCTCTTCAGATATACATAAGAAGAAAATTAAGATAAAAAATGAACAAGTTTCTCAAATGTTTAGAAGAAGAAAGAATATTTTAATTGAACATTTTTTATTAAAAAAAATCTTGAAAAGTAGGGATTGGAGGAAGCTGGAAAATTTTTTTTCAATTTTTTACTTTTTCATTTTCTTATTGTCTACTTAAACATTTTTAAATATCCTTCTTTCCTTTTTTCAATTCATTCTTTTGTAGTTTTGTGTATTTTAATGACATGGTATAATATATGACAGTAATAACTTGTTAGCAATAATACTATAGACTCAAAGAGTTTTTACCTATAAATACTGTGAAGCAAAATATTTACTAGTTAAAATTATATTATTTGACTACTGAATTATTGCCAAATTTGTTAAAAATTAATAATAAAAAGATTGACAAATTATTTATAATTGATGTCACTTAGAAAGATAAAACTCAAAATTATTTTTTAGTAAAAAAATAGCCAATTTATATTTGGGATTGGTACTAAATATCAACTGGTTTCAATCATTTGATAATAAAGTGTATAGTACTGATATTATATATGTGACTAGTACAAATTTGTATATAATATGATTTAAATATAAAAATATATTGATTTTTGGCATATTTTCAGGTTTTAATAAATCAAGTTTACACTAAATAAACCATTATATTTCTTCAATTGTCGATTAATTGGTGCAACTATAGCAAGAAATAAAACTCAATTCAACTGCTGAAAATGAAGAGGAAAAAATAATTTGAATAGTCTCAATTTTAATTTTGTACAATATTTCTGATATATAAAAAATATATAGACACATTTAAGCACTAGTATCATATAATAGTTACAAGAAAAATGCTAATTATAAAAATAATTATTATAATTATGGTAATATGAAGGATAGAAATAAATAGTTTATATCAAAAGATTTGGCAATATATAAATGAGATTTTATCAAATATTTTGTTAGTAAAAATTATACAGATGGTCAAAATCTTTTATTTATCTTATTTTGATCCAATTTGGCATTTAATTATCAATTCTATGCATTGTCTTTTCTTAGATATTGATAAATAACTCATTAAACAAATATAGATCAAAGAACAGATACTGATAAATAATACATTGAATAAAATACAATCAATGATGGAAAATTTTCAAGTGCCATTAGATATTGATCAAATTTTAAGAAAAGTAAATAGTGATAAAAGATTTTTAAACTTTATTACCAATTAGTGGAAAATTTTTTTTACAATATATGCAGCTATTATTTTATAGAAACATCTTTTAGATATAGATCATCAAATTTTAACAAATTTTGTCAAGATATGTCAAATCTTAGTATGTTGAATTTAAAGACAAAATTTATTAATGAGGCTTATGAAAGATTAGTTGCAATAATTAAACTAATAGAATGAAAATATGGAGAAAAAATTACTCTAAATCTTCATCTTTTATTACATTTATATAAATGTGTATATAATTATAAATCATTATATATATTTTAATACTTTTTATTTGAGAGGATAAATAGTATATTGAATAAGTTTTTAAATAAATTTAATATTTAAAAGTAGAATTCTAACAAATTTTTAATCTAGATTCATTGCCTAATAGTCATTAAAATATTAAATCCAAATTAATATAAAGATTAATAAATAACCATTAAATTATTAATTGAACTATGTCCTATTTTAATAATTGGATGCTTAAAATTTTAAATAATTGATCAAATATTAGTTCAATTTCTGAACTAGATCAGTTTTTGATTGATGAGTTATATCAATTTTTAAACAATATATATAATATTCACAAAACAATAATTGATAGATCCAAATATTTTTTAGGTAAATTCTTGTATTTGAAAAAACTAAATTTAGAGTTATCTATCAAAATATTAGATCTTTAGTCAAATATTATGAGGCATATTATAAAACTATGAACTTTCGAAGACCATTTATGAAAAATAATAAAAATTCAATAATTATTTAAAATAGAGCAGATCAATATAATAGATACCGAATTGGAAGTGAAATATTCAATTCTGTTATATCCTTATAAATATTAAGGGCTCATTTATATTAGCTAGATTTGTGAATCACAATGAAAGTGTTGATTTATGTCTGGAACAATTTCAATTTTTCTTTACACATTTAGTAAACTTTCTGAATAATGATATTGAATATTAATTGGCCTTTATTCAGTGGTACAAACCAATTAATTCAGCAGAAAATAGATTTTATTTCAGATTTGAAAATTATGCGAATAGCAGCAGAAAGCATGAGCAGACTTTTTTTTTTGGATTCATCATTTTTACACCTTGGTTCTTATGATTTTCTTGCTTTTTTAGTGCTTTTCTGTGATTATAAGACAAAAGCTAATTAAGAAGTCAGATTGAAAGCTTTCCTGTATAGTATTCTTCTCATGCATTTTATGGCTTCAAATTCGTTAAATCGATATTAATATTCAGAAAGTGGTGTAATTTTATGCATAGCTAAAATATCTTTAATTTTTTATAATTCGTCAAAATCGATAGTTCAGTTTCTTGCAAGTCTTAAGTCTTTTAATGCTTTTTGAATAGTAATTTTTTGATATCCAGCTTGCTATGTTTCACGTCTTTTAGGCACTAAAATCGATGATGTTGTTTTTTTAAATAGCAATTTTTTGTTATCTGGCTTGTTATGTTTCACATTATTTGGACCTTTTCTATAACACCAGCTATAATGCCGGAAAATTTTCATCTGGAACATTCTATATCACTGGCATTTTTATATATCTCACATCATTTGGAGCCTTTCTATAGCACTGGCATTTTTATATATCTGACGTTATTTGGAACTTTTCTATATCATTTGAATTTGTATATACCACAACCTAGGGGTGGCAGGCGCAACTGGTTTCTCATTTGACCGTGCCAGCTGATGATATACTAATTCACAGTTGAGTCGCGGTTGAGGTTGAGTTGCAGTAATTTTTTCCTATATATCCACTATGTGAATGCAAAGCAATTCTATGAAAACAGGTGTATCGCAGTTGAGTCGCGGTTGATGCGCGTTGGAATCTTGGTGATGGATTGACCGGGTCAATCATTCCCACGCTTTTTTTACGCAATAATCGATTTTATTGGCTGATACACATGATAAGTAACATTTTTCAAAAACAATGCCACCAAAACCGAAAAAGCCTCAGAAAAAAAAAGTTACAGGTAAAGTACATGCATTGTTTGTGAAGAAACAATTTATTATAATGAAGAATATCTTCCGTAGAGAACGTTTCATCTACTGTTGCTGGTACATCTGGCACATCTGGTACAACTGGTACAACAGCAAAAGGCAAAAATGTCGAAATATTTGAAAATGCTCCTCCCCTACGAACGGAACTATCTAGTGGTAAGGTAAACTTATTATAAATATTTTTTGTAGTGGAGTCACTCATTACCTTTTGCGAAAAAACAGATTTCGGGGGCATTAACTTAGACTCTCCGTCAACCCTTTATAAAATCTGGATCAAGTATGGCGACGGCAGACCAGTTAGACTTACTTTTGGCGGCGAGATCGTAGACGATTTGATAGAAGCGATCAAGAAGAAACTGTCACCCAAGTTGAATGACGTGGTAGTCGACGACATCACTCTAAGAAGACACGGTGAAAAAGAAGACTTAGATTCGGGGCTTGCTATGGACCAGAGCTTCGAGAATAACTCAAGCACGCCTCTACAAGTCATTGTAAATGTACCTGGTACCGTATTCAAAGTTTATCGGGAAAGAAACGATGATTAGTAGGTTAAAATAGTTTTGCATTATTGTGACGTTAAATTAACTTTGAATTTTTTCTATTATTACAAGTGACATCAAAACGCAAACATGAAGAACCACCAGAAGATTTACGTAAGATCATGGAAAGTGTGGCAGAAAGTGCGGCAGAAAGTGCGGTAGAGAAAATGTTATCTCGGCAAAGGCATGAGACGATCCAAGCGTCAAATCTTTCGGAAACGAAAGCATGATCAATAATGGATTCTTTCAAATTAATGGATTTCAAAGTAAGTATATACCTCCTGTATTATTTGATGGTTTCATTATCTCATCATTTATCCATTATTAGCTCTTAGCAGAAGACTTTCAACCTATTAGTCCCATAAATTGCCAGCCATTCGTATGGAACACAGAAACTGATGAAGCCCACCAAATGCCCGAAGTTAAAAAATGGTTTAAGAAAGCATTAAACTTACCAAGAGGTTTTTATGTGAAAGATGTCCATACACAGATTCAAGAACGACATTTAAAAAGTTCCAATATCACTTTAAGAGGCGGTATCGAAATTTCCATTGGAGCAAGTGATAACGACTGTGTTTGGATTGAAACTAAAAAAAAGAAGGAGGATTTTAAAGAGGGTCAAGCTATCGGAGAATTATTCATAGTTGATAATAGATCTGCTACAAAATC